GGATTTGCAGGTGGTTGGCCATCCATCTTTACGTTATCGGCAAGTTTAAAAATCACATGTTTCAATATTTCCTGAAATTTGCCTGATTATAAATAATTTATATTTCAAGGAACCATTTCTGATATGATTTCCAAACATACTTTTTTTAGGTACGGCCGGCGTTTTATGGTGTTTTCTTTGGTTCTTCTATGTTTCGGATCGACCGTCACATAGTAAACGTATTTCTAAGAAAGAGCTAAACTATATTGAAAATTCGTTAGCTGACATATTAGCACCGGATTCCAAGAAGGTAGTAATTTTTCCGAAACACATTTTCTTCAGAATTAGTTACCGAAATTTTGCAAACCGGAACATTTCGCATTGAAAATGATACAGCATTAGCTAGGTGATGAAGAAAGATAAAGAAAAACGAATCAGTGTTCGTATGCGAGAATATCCAGTATGCTCAGCTATGCCATTTTCAAGAATTGAAATTCTAATTGTGTTCTATTTTAATTTCAGAAAAGACCAGTGCCATGGCTTTCCATATTCAAATCACTTCCCGTTTGGGCATTATTCTGTGGTCATTTTGCCGGTGATTGGGGTGCTTACATCATGATGACCAGTCTTCCGCTATTCATGAATGATGTTTTGGGATTAGATTTTGCTTCGGTTCGCTAATTTTCTGTAATTCCTTAGAATAAAATTGTTCAAAATACTATTCTCGGTATTTCTTGACATAAATGGTCTGCTTATCTAATAAAGCTCAAAGTAAAAAAAAATTTTTCAATAAAAGATTTTATTACATTTTAGCTTGGATTTTTGACGGCAATTCCGTACATTGCATATTTCGTATTTATTAATTTGGGCGGTTTTATTGCGGATAAGTTGCAAAATGCAAATATCCTATCAACTATAGCAACTCGACGTCTTGCTATGATCGTTGGTAGGTTTCCCTTGAAAGTTATAGGAAGTATAAAAAGCACTGCATTTGATTAGATAAATTGAAAACTAGTGAAAAGTATTATTGAGAAGATCTGATAAACGCAAATTTAAGCATAATGCTGCCAATAATAGCGATCTCCCTTTATTCCTTCTTCTAATCCATCACTGTCTTTGACGTACTCAGTCATCTATTTTTGAGCTATTTTAGCAAAATTGTCCGTATGGTAACGTGATTCTGCAGTTTAATGTTTGATATTACTTAACCACATTTTTGAATCATTCCAGATAACATTATGTTTTGAAAGGTAGCGGTCTGGTTTCAATTGACTATCAGATTCAGTGTATACGTAACTGCTTGAAATAAACATAGAGAAGTAATGAAAAGCTAATCACTAAATGCATGATAAATCACTACTGTTCGAAATATAACTGCTGATATTGCAGCGCTTGGAAGTCAAGCTGCATTTCTGATAGCTAGTGGTCATTGTAGTTGCGGTCAGGAGACCCTAGTGATTACATTCCTTACTCTTGGTATTGGTTTGTCCGGAATACAGTACGCCGGTTTTGTGGTTAATTATCTCGATATTGCACCAACATTCGCTGGACCTCTACTAGGTATCGGCAATACGATAACATGCATCGCTGGGATCATAGGACCACTAATGGTTGGCCAACTTACTCCCACGGTAACCTTTATTTAATTTTATAACTTCCTTCTGTTTGTTACATATCGTTGGCATTTTTACCACATTTAGTTCTTAAATTTTAATTTTATTAATTTTACTAACTTTACCTTAAGTTTTAATTTTATCTTAAATTTTAATTTTATTAT